CACATATCAACACATATACAATTAATAATAATTTAGAAATAAGAATAAAACTATTTTTCTGTAGATATATAGGTCTGAAAACATTTTAAAATATTCATATTCAAAGTACACAGAAAGTAAAAACCTACCACCCTGATTTGCATGGTTGTTTGTAAAGCTCATTAGCTAATGGGAAGATATCTGGTTTAATTATCTTGGCATCCAGATAGGGATAAAACAAACAACAACCATGAAAAGCCATGCCACCAATCCCCACCTGGCAAACAAAGCAAACCAATATGTATCCTTGCCAGAGGGCGAGAGACACAGTGTTGTTTTGTATATGACTTTAATAAAAAACATGCTTGTCTCTTAAAATCTTTCATGAGCGAGGTGGGAATCTGGGAGTTGAAGAAGAGCATAAGACGGCTGCGATGGGGAATAATGAAAAATGAAGAGAGAGGGAGCGAGGCAAGACTGATAAGATAAAATGCATTTAGGCTGTCTATCAGACGTCAGAAGCCATGCCCTGCTGTTCTGAAATTGACTTTTTGTGTTGCATTCCTTGAAGGTGAGCTCAGAGTGCAGCCTTTAGCAATCTTTTGGGGGAAGAGAAATTCAGTAACAAATACAGTAGTCCCTGCGTATGGCCATTGTTTCTTTTGAGGCATTGTTCATCAAGACCATTGACACGGACTTTTAGATAAAAGTGGAAGCAACTAATTTTTTAATTCCATTGGTTCTTTCTGGTCCTCCCCCACAATTGCTGCTCACGACTCTTTCCCTTTTTATTCTGGGATGGACTTCTTGAGCATGATTAAGAATGTTGATATCTATTACCTACCTCTTGTCCTGACCTCAGAAGTTCTATTTGAGAGACTCTTTTCTTGCTTTCCTGGAGTCATCTCAGTCATTCCCTGAGCTTATTAATTTTCCTCCCACATGCATGGTAGGGACACTTTAAGGGGCAATCATGATTCACACTGAGGCACAGAATATAAAGTTAGAACTTCATTCTTTGAGCTGCTAATCAGACTGTGAGCAATCTGAAGTTGCTCCCTGACTGAATGGTTCACATCTGATCACTGGCCCTACTCTGTCCCATTCTCAAATGCCCCTGAGTGTCTCAACTCAAGCATTTAGTAATAATGGTGGCACCTAGGTCGTGGTAACAGTCATATCCTTTTGTGATGGTTTGCTTAATCGTTTTTTCCAGACTCAAGTAGCCTAAATGAAGTTGCCGTTGGAGTAAGCAAAATGCTTTTGCTTTATGCCCAGAAACATTTGAGATGGAAATGCTTGTAAACCAGAGCTTTTAATCTCTTACCTCTTCATGTTTCCCTGTGGTCTTAACTCTACCAAAAAGGGACCTAGAGATTTGATATTCCCTTTGCTTATTGACTTGAAGGGAGGGTGACCTTGATATGAAGCTACTGTCTTTTGCAAGACAGGTAGGTCATTAGAAGAAATGGCCAGAACTCTGATCTAATTTTATTCTGGGGTCAGGTTGGCACTCAGATCTGTCTACACCCCAGCCCATGGCTTGACATCAAATTGACCACCAGAAGGATCCCAACTCCCAGTGTAAAGGGAGAACATGTGATGAATGACCCCTTTACTGTTTATAAGACTATTCCTGATGCAGAATTTTTCACTTCTTTTCTAAAGCCCTTCTGAATTTTTCATCTACTTCTCTCAGCAAAACCAGGCAAAGGGAAAGATGATTAAGTCTCAGAAGAGGCACAAAATGGCCTGAAGCTAAAGAGGGAAAAAGTTTAGGGTGGACATTTTGAAAGATTAACACTAAGAGCGATTAGGTAGTGGAACCGACGTTCCCAAGCCCAAAGAGAGCTGAGGGAAGGTTAGAAACAATATTAATGTTAATGAAGTATAGTGAAGCCCTATAGAATAAAGGAGTCTTGACCAAGAGGAGAAGAGTGTGAGGGAAGCACAACAGTCAGCTGACCACGTGCCTTTACTCCGGCTCCCTGGGCTAGTGTCTTTTAGATGAGAGGCTTTGGGAGGCAGCAGGGAATCTAGACTGCAGTCTCTGGAAACTAGGATACTTCTGTGAATTGTAGAGATAATTCTTCACTTACTAAACAATGTATTTTAAAGTGCCTACTATATGCTAGGCCTTGCATCTTCAAGAATGAAAACTCACGAAGACAAGTGATTCTATATAACAGAGGGAAAAGCCCCTGAACAATCTGGGTATATGGTGCTGTTCCAGAGTGAAAGAGATAAAGAAGATGGATAAAAGCTCTCAGAACCTCACAGTGCCTGGGAAAAGGCCTTTTCCTTCCCAGAGGAAGGCACAGTACATAGAAAATCTGCTTAGTGCACTCGGGTAGCATATACATCTCCCTTCTTACAATGTTGCCAGGTGGTACAGCTGGCACTCTCAGACAATTCTACAGAACTGGTATCCATTCCTCTCTGAGTGCCTACCTGCATTCCATCCCCTCTTCTTCTGCCAAGGCTTACACCGAGAAGGTAGACCAGCAGGATGAAAGCGTTTTTTCTTATCTGTGCACAGTTTCTGAGGAATGATGAGATAATGCAGGATCATAATCTTCCTTCTGGATGAGCCCTGCAATTTCCAGGAGAGTCTTTCTCTTAACTCTTGCTACTTGACTAACATTTGCCTTCTTATTGCTTGCTGGATGTTGTTGATGTTGTTTTTTTGTTTTTATGTTTGGTCATAGCTCCACAACCTCTTTGTGGAATTAGTTCATCAGCAACGTTCATTAGTGCATGGTGGTCTTCAACTACTCCTGCCATGCACAAGTTTACATAGAATGTGCCTTGTTTGTGGATTCAGGTGCCCTATGACACCCAGAATGCACACAGTACTTTGAAAGTGTATTTCAGAGTAAATGCCTGGAAACTAGTCCCCAAAGGATGAAAAGGAACTAATCAGTGTTGTAGATGGGAGTGGGCATGGGTTATTTCAGGTGGACAAAGCCTAAAAAGAAGGGTGGGTATGGAATTCTGTATGCCTGGCATGATAATCTCAACAGCCATTTGAAAAATTACTTTTAAGTTGGGGAGGAATAATTTCAAAGAGTTTTTCACTCTCCTTGCTGATTTCCCTAGTAGCCAACATTGGAAGATCTCAGCTGGAGTTAGGGGAAGAGCTGATGATCATCCTGGGAGTAAAATGATACTAATGGAAAGAGATCTATTACATCTTCATTTCTGTGATTCAATCTTTTCCTCCCTTCTCTTCCAGTCACCTCTTGTTTCTTCCTGTCCTTTTCTCTCCCCCTATTTTAGAATGACAATTAGACATAACAATTGACAAAATAGTTCATTGCATTTACTTTTATCTTCAGTGGATTGGAGCTGGAGCATAGGCCCCCAAGGAAACATGAATACAAATCATTTGAAAATTAGATTTGTCAAGGAAAAGAAGAATTAAGAGACAAGAAGCTGATTTTTTTTCTGTTGAAAATAAGAAACTGCTTTCCATTAAAAAATATCTGAGCATTTACTTTTGAAAACTTGTGAATGTAGCTGCTTTCTCTGCCTTTTTGAAATGTTTCTTTTAGAAACTAAGCCTTTTGTCAGCGTGATGACCTACAGACCACAGATCCATCTCTTGCATATGTAACACCAGGGGAGTCAACATCTCCATTTCACTTTTTCTCTGGGATATTAGAAGTCTAATTTTAGTGCTTGCTATAAGAGATTCTCCTTCTTGCCTTAAAGAACTCCCTGCCCCATTTAGCCAAGAGATTTCTCCTTGATTACCAGGTAAACTTAGGATAATTCATGTGTGATCCATGGTGTTATTCAGTCTTCTTACTTGAGGACTAAGTAATATTTATCTGAAAACATCTGTAAAATGAATTATATTGAATTTCTTTAAATTTCTTGACATATTACCTGTGATGTATGTCAAGAATTCTTAGTATTTATTTTTGAATAATACATTTTTACTAGAAAGAAGGCTCATAATTTGTGTAATTATATTCATTTTGTTTTCAAAAGTTAGTATTTCTTGTCCCATAATGTTTGTTCAACAAAAAATTTTAAATGTAGAATAATGCTAAAACAATCAATAAGAATTTATATCAAAAAGTAACAGATTTCCTGGGTTAGTATTTATTAAACTTACTCCACTACACTTGCAGAAATAATTCCCAGACTTGAAAAGGATGCTTATTATATCTCCCCTATAGATCTTGAAGAGAGAAAATTTTGCTTTTCTTTTTCTCAGGAATTTGTATGAGAACTTAGTACTATGAAAAATGAAACAGCTAACACTCTGCTTCTCAGTAAATGCGCGATATGAGTTCTTTTTGGCAGATGGAACACCAGCCCTTTGAAATTTTCCCAGGTGGACCAAACACTGTTTGCTTTCAGAAGTTCTCAGCGAGGCTTTCATTTTAAATTCATAAAAGTTATCAACCAACTTCCAACAATTGTTTAATAAAAAGCAATTAGCCAGCCAGAAATATAATGGCTTTTATGTCAAAATATGGTGGAGACAGCTGCTAAGCGGGCCACAGATGGCCCCCAGGCCATATGCTGTGAGTCCCAGGCATATGTGCAGTCAGGCACAACAGCACAGAGCATATTGGGAGTAATAAACCCAACTCCCCAATTTTCTTCCTCTCCCCTACCTAATCTCCCCACTCCAGAGAAGCCAACAGGAAGAAATTCTCTGGCGTCAACTGCTGCATTCAAGATACACAAACTCACTTATTAGGCAAGGATCTTATGTGGCAAGGCACTGATTCCAGCCTGGTTTGGATAAATTCCATGCAAACCTTATTGCAGTACAGAAAACCGATTTAAAAAAAAAGTTCTCCACAAAAAGCAATAACATCAAATCTTAATGCAACAGCACTCATGAAGAAATCAAACTCTGAATGTAGATGCTTATCTGTTAGCTCCTTCCAATTTCATATTTGTGTGGAAGATGTTTGTAGAGTCTCCTACTCCTTGCAGATAGAGTTTCATTCTCTGCAGGGTTCTGGCTCTGCTGTTCATTGCTCCATCTTGTTCCCTAGGAGGTGTTCTGGTGCCGGAGATACTGCAGATGGACACATGTATCTGCTTTTAGAAATACAAATCTAGATACATGATTATTTTCATCAGGGGGTGTGGAAGAAAAGGAAACTCCTGGAATACTTTTTGCTATCAAGAAAGGAAATATTTTTATAAGAAATATTTAATTGTCTAAATTTGCTAATTTCTTTATTTTACACTTCTTTAAAGGTGTGTATACCACACAAATACATGTATACACACACAGCCACATGCACAACAATAAAATTTTCAATGAAATAAATAACAGAATCTGTTGCCTCAGTTTCTCACTGGGTCCTGTTCAAGATGCTTTACAGAACTAGGATACCGTAATTAACTACGTCGAAAGGAAATATTTTTGACAAAGGCTTGCCAATCTGGTAGTAGATGCGCAAAGTGCAGGCAAAGCAGCTTTTGTGTATGGAGAGTCTTTCTGTCCCAGAGGGTGCAGTGGTTCCTAAACACTCTGAAGCCATCTTTTAGAGCACTTATGTTGCCTGACTATTCAAGGACTGGTCCTAGACATGGATTTTTATGCTTTCTGGCCTCTATAGAGTGTCAACAAAACCTTAGTTTACAGTTAAGAAAATGAGTTGTGATTTTTCAAATTTGATTTAAAAATTTTATTTTTCATTTTGCATACCAACCCCTGTCTCCCCTTCCTCCCCTTCTCCTGCTCTGCAGACTCTTCTCTTCCCACTCTCCGGGTCCACTCCTCATAGGGGGCAAGGCCTTCCATGGGGAGTCAACAAAGTCTGGCATTTCAAGTTGAGTCAGGACTAAGCCCCTCCTTCTGTATTAAGACTGAGCAAGGCATCCCACCATAGGGACTGGATTGAATAACCAGGTTACAATCCACAACCCCAGAGAAGCTAGGTAAAAAAGGGTACCCTAAGTGGCACATACATGGAGGGCCTCAGGAAAGGAAAATAGTTAAGATCTCCTGGGTAAACTGGGAGAGGGGTAGAAGGGAGGGGATGGAGGATGAGTCTTGAGCTTTTAGCTAACAGGATCTTCTCTTGTAGACACAATATATAGCACAACACGCACATAAACAACCCTGAATGGCTCTTGGAAAAGGGAAACCCAGGAATTTCTAGATTCTCAAATTCCAGGTCCTTTTTTCCCATCTTTTCCCAAGAGCTTCTTCAGCAGAGGTGTGATAAAGGGTCTGTTGTAGATCCTTCAAGACAATCCCTACTTTGCATCATCCGCTGGAAAGACTTAAGGAACTCACAATACAATGCCACTCATGGAAATTAATTTGTTATACAGAAAGCACATGAAGCTAAATCAGCAAAGGAAGCAGTGTGTGGATGGCGTCTGGGGGAGACTAGACACATAGTTTGTATCTAACTCTCATGTTGAAAAGTCATGGTAAGGTTTCTACCAAGGAAGTCTGAGGCTGCTCATTTGAGTTACCCCCCGCCCCTGTCCTGGGTGAGTACCAGAGTTTTACACTGCAGCACGGGTATCCAGAAAAAGCCATGCCATGTGTGCACATGCTGCAGGCATAGTGAGTTATTCTTGTCAATTTGTGGAATGATGGGGGCCATCTTGAGATTCAAATCCTAGATGCCAGTTGATGGTCACCTTGTGAATGCATCTTCCTAGCAAGAGCTGTTCTCTCCACTACATGCCATAGACCCTGTGAGTTCTTCTGCATGAGAGTTATAAGCGGATTATGATAGCCGTTCTTTTCTTCTGTTTAATCTCCTTGCCTTGAACTGTGAGGGATTTTTATTGATTGCCCTACAAAGTGTAGATAGATTTATGAGCCGTGAGAGGCACAGTCTGAACCATTGGTGTAAGTGCTAAACAGTGAAGTCTGTACGACAGGCAGTGTGGTGAATATTGAAAGCAGGGGTTTTACAGTTTGGACATCTGAATCCAAATCCTACTTCATATTTCTATATTTCTGTAACATGTATGATTATAACTTTCATGTTCATGCTTTGTAGATAATCCACCAAGTATATATATATATACATATATATATATTAGTTGATTGAATTTCTTGGGAAGTAGGATAATTTAGATGTCATGAGGATGACATATGATAGACTTATGGGCATGTAAATTTGTGAGTCAAGAATGAAATATTGTTGGATGTAAAATCTTGTATACTGACTTTGGTGCTGGGATTTCATCTTTCCTTCTTTCTGTTCCTTCTTTCTTTTTCTTCTCTTCCTTCCTTCCTTCCTTCCTTCCTTCCTTCCTTCCTTCCTTCCTTCTTCTCCCTCCCTCCATCTTGTTTTTTTATGGTTTTTCAAGAGAGGGGTTCTCTGTGTAGCCTCAGCTGTCCTGGAACTCAGTCCGTAGACTAGGGTGCCTTGAACTCAGAGATCTGTCTGCCTCTGCCTCCCGACTGCTGGGATTAAAGGTGTGTGCCATCACAGCCAGGCCTGGTGGTGCCATTTTCATCCCATGCTTTTTACAGATAAATCTGCCTACAGTATATGCATGAATTTCTTTTTGAGAATTTCAAACACGAATACTGTATTTACATAATTTCTATTCCCTCTTTCCTATTCTCATTCCTCCCACACCCTTCAAATTATTGATCACTTTTTCTTCAGTTATTATTGTTGTAAACATGTGTGAGTGCAGAAACATGTGAGTCCAGTTAATGTCAGTCATGTGTCTGTATGTTTTGAGCTGATCACCTGGGTTTGGATAGCCTATCAGGGGCTTGTTTCTGGAAAAGACTGATTGTCCCTTTCTCAGCAGCCATCAGTTGTCTGTAACTCTTATTTGTGGGTGGTGCTGTATGAGATTTCCCCTATCCACTTGGCGTATCAACTGCAGGTCTAGTTTGGACCACTACATTGTCAAAATTTCATGAGTACAGCTCCCTGCCATTTGTAGAAGACACTATCTTGCCCCATTTGCTTCTCTGGCTCTTGCCGTCATTTGGACTCCTCTTCTGTGTTGATCTCAGAAGCTTAGGTGTAGGGGTTGCGTTATAAATGTTGCATTACAAACCACATAGTCTGTTGTTCTCTGCCTTTTCATCAGTTGTATCTCTCTGCAATGGTTCCCATCTGCTGCAAAGGAAACTTCTCTGATGAGAGGTGAGAGGCTACACCTATCTGTGGGTATAAGGATAAGTGTTTAGAATGCAATATGGATGAGCATGTTGAGGGACTACAAGAATATCATTTAATCAGGTGTGTGACCTAATGGAGTAAGAACATTCCCAATAAGGCAATGAATGGACCCTTTCGATCCCAGAGACTTCTCTAGAACTACAAGCAAGCTACAAACACCATTAATGTGTTACCTGTGCATTTGAACTCTTCTTACTATATTTGCTTTTCAAATCCTTGTGTTTTCAGATTGCTGTTTCCTGAGTTACACACTGAGAAGATTAGTATTCTTAGGGAAGGAGAATCTTCCTTAGTTTCTCTATTCTGTCTTCAAATATGTTTGATTTGCTTTTCTTCTCAGTCCTAAGGGGGTCTCATCTTCCTTGCTTACCCCTTGCTACAAAATCTTTAATTTTTGGCCCATTTTAGGATTTATTTAATTCTCTATTTTATTTTGCACTAAAGCATGAAAACCAAAACAAAATACTTTCTCTGTGGTTTCTGTGATGGTCTCTTAATTTTCTGGCTGTTGAATTTAACTCTTGATTTTAGGAAGGCCAGGCATATTTCTCAGGCACCTAAATATTTGTCCTAGTTTTCAGATCTCTGCTTCTGTCATATTCAGACACACAGACCTGTAAACACAGAGTTTTGAGTGCTGGTGTGTTTATGTTTTGCAGTAGGTAGGTCAGTGTATAGATATTCTAGTCCTAATGACTGGTCCTAATCCTAGCACAAGCATGTAGCACCCTGGACACTGTCAGTTTAATATCTGTTCTCAATTTTCTTATCTATAAATCTGTGAAAATACTACTATTTATTTTATTATTAAATATGACATTTTGGCATGCTTAAAACAGTATCTGACACAGTTACATATGGAAAAAGAATGTTATGCCACATTTCAGTGATTCTTAGACTGTAGAGAATTGTCTTGAGCTGTGCTTTCCTTGGTCATTCTTATACTGACTGAAAGGGACTGTAACACAGACTGTCTTCTTACTGATTTATATTTGTTAGCTGTACCCTGGATTCCCTTGGCAGAAGTCTGGGTTATTCTAGGTTATAAATAGAAATGTGAATTTTTATGAGAAGCAGGCAGCATTAGCTTACGATTAATCAAAAATTCATGACTACAAATCTCTTACAAATTCTACAATGCCTTCCCTCTTTCTAGTATTACTAACATTCTGCACTCATTCCTTTCTCCAAATAAGGTAGTCAAGGCCAATGCACTTGTGAGTGGATAATCATTTCCATGTGACCCTAAGAGGGGAGAACAGTGCTATCTGAGGTTCTCTGAAGACTGTCACACACCAATGGACAGTTAAATAAACATACTTCACAGAGAACCTCTCTTGAAACATGAAAATGAAAACAAAGTATCTGGCACATAGTAGGCAATCAGAAAAGCCAATTCTTTTTCTCAATATACCTGGCTACCAGATGCAGTTTCTCCTCTCCCCAAGTTTCTTTCAGCCTTTCTTTTCCTTGGTTAGGAAAACACGAGGATGATTGTAAAGGATCCTCTTACACACTGTATGATGATTAACTTCTACAGAGGAGTGGAGAAGCTCTGCTGTTGAAAAAAGGGTGAGATTGCTGCCACCTCCCCTTCCAACTTGGGAGGAGCTTGGAAACTATACAAGTCAAGGTGAGGACTATTACCTAGAAATGATAGTGTGAGTTGGGTGGTGGCAGCACACACCTTTAATCCTAACACTCTGGAGGCAGTGGCAGATGGATTTCTGTGAGTTCGAGGCCAACCTGGTTTACAAAGGAAGTTCCAGGACAGCTAGGTCTATTCCACAGAGAAACCCTGTCTTGAAAAAATCAAACCCACCAAACCAAACCAAACCAAACCAAACCAAACCAAACCAAACTAACCAAACCAACCAACCAACCAACCAAAACAAAATCACCCACCCAACCAACCAAACAAAGAGTGTGGACATATGTACATGTTTCCAGTTATGAATCTGTGTTTTCAGGTTTGGGGAACCATTTTGGCAAGACAAACTAGGGCTAACAGACAGGAATTAATCCAAAATAATAGGTTGTAAAATAATTTGATCCAAACAGTGGAATCAAAGTAACTACTCTGCTTTGCATTCTGGGTATGCTGGAGGTAGCCACCTTCAAATTTCCTATCTTAAAAGATATAAAATC